TGAATGGCGTAACTTGACCCGGTGTGACCTCCAAGTACGGCTTTGTATGAAAATAAATAATAAAATAAAATATATAAACAAAAGAAATCGCAGAACAAGATAAGATTTATGTGAACACATACCGCAAGTAAGTTTGTCATTCCCCAGCTCCCAGCTGACGGGACAACTGCAGATGGCGCCACTGTTACTATCAGTACAGTTGTGACTACATCCGCCATTGTTGATACGGCATGTTCTGACTGGAATTGAAAGAAAATGACGAACTTTTAAATAACAATACATTTTGTCGTTATAATTTTTTCAGTATGAATATGCCAAATTTGACAGGAAGATTCCATGAATTCTGTGTAAATTTAAAAGGACATTTTTTCTTTTCAATTACATGATAAAGTGTATGTAGATGTCAACAATACAACATTCAAGTGAATGTGCTTCGTTCTTGGACTTCTTGGAAACTACACGTTATGCGTAAGCGTACTTTTATTTAACATAAAAGTTTCTTACTGCATGTTTGGTTATCTTTGGCTAACACGAGGTTAGCCGGGCATCCACAAGTTATTGTCCCCTTGTCGTCTGCTTTGCAAAAATGACTGCAACCGCCATTTTGATGAAGACATGGAGTCACTAAAATGGAATGTATTGATATAATTATTTTACACGGGTATAGTTTGTCATAGGCCTGTGGAATTTATGCTAAAGATATTGTCTTTAATCGACTTAAAACTAAGTACGGGATAACGTTGGATCTGTCTTTGCGATATTAATATCATGTCAATTAATCATTCGTTCCATATGCTGTTCATTAGGTAAAAACTAGTTATGGGATGTAAAACAACATGCACATTATATTATGTTGTGTGCTCGCCTTTATCCTAACTCAATTCACAGCCAGAATGAACCTGTAAACGCCATGTACAGTATGTACTTGTACTGCCAGTAGTACATACATGTACAACTTAAATGAATTCGCTTGAAATAATATGAGCCTTACATGTGTGTGTATTTATCGGAAGTCTTACCGCAAATCTTCTTGTCTTCCGCCAGAACTAGACCGGACGGACAGCTACATGTGACTGTAGCATTCACGTCACTATGGCAATTGTGACTACACCCACCATTGTCTATGTCACATGGAAATACTGTAAATGAAGGCAACGTGGTGATATAACATAGGAGAGTCCAGGGATAAGTGGGTGTGGATCATTTTAGTAAAACTCATATTTGTCTTTTATTAATGGTACGTGACCAAATATGCTGAATGAATATCTTCAGGCACATATTATTTAATACAGTAATTTACAGGTACTTAGCACATGTAGAATATATGGCATGCGTACATACAGGTACGTATAGGGCCTACACTTACTGTTTACTGAGTCATCAACTGGATATACTGCTATAAGACAGATACGCAGAGGAGTTCCCAAAGTATGTCCAGAGTGCTCGCATGTTATACATGTCGTCACAAATACAAGAAACCCAAGCACAACGATATCTCTTACCGCACGTGTTCTTGTCCTCCGCCAGCACCAGGTTGCTAGGACACGTACACACTGGGCTCCCTTTGTCACCAGTACAGCCGTGAGTACACGTACTGTTTAGACAGGGGTCGCTGGTGTCGGTCACTGAAAATGTTGAAAAATATTTATGTATTCCTGGACCTCAATGGCACACATGGTAGGAGAACTTTAATTAAAATGGACATATTTCGATTAAAATCGTTCTCATGTACATTTTTGGTCAAAAAGGTTGTCCTACTTTGAACCTATGTGCTTTATTAACAAATGATCCCCTCAGAAATGTAAATTGCTTAATTTACACAGTGTTTTTTATTCCAAATAAGGGACTTATGATACAAAACAAAAAAAATACAAAATACCAATGAAGATTTCCATATTTTATACCATACCATACCATACAATCCATATTTATTCAAGCTAAATGAAAGGTCTACCACAATATTTAGTGACATACGTAGGAATTAATTAGGTACATGTAAATATAATTGTCTTATTCTTATAAGTACAAGAGTACATGAAAAAAAAGCACATTGAGGTGACATTGTTAAAGGGATAATAACTCTTCGTTTTGGCCAAAAAATGAATTTTCCTGGAGTAAACAACAATTTTTCCATACTTACCAATGGTTAATGAATCCATTTTTACATTCAAAGTTAGTCCCTGTTTTTTTTTTTTTTTCTAAATAGTTTGTTTTTTCGTTATAATCTCTTGAAAGGTTGTAACAGAGTATAACCATCACGTGGAGGTCACGTGGTCTAAAGACAAGCTCAGATATCAGAATAATAGCTATAATTGCCGTTTTTGTGGTAAAACAGAATATATTATATTTCTATGAGTTGTTCACAGTGTTTTTATTGTTAAATATATGTATAGATCTCATCTGAAGAGTTATTATCCCTTTAAACTCCTTAATAATATACAGTAGTAGTTGTATTAATTTTAATTGTACGCACCTCCGCAAGTGTTAACATTGCAGTAACTCCACTGGAACTGAGGGAACTTGTACACATAGTATCCGCCCGGACATTTCCGCACCATGGCGTAGTCAAAGGTGGTGTAAGTGTTGTCGTAGCAGGTACAGCTGGAGCTGGAAGACCGAGTGCAGATTTTTCTTTTGACGATGCCGTCCTTCACAGTTGGATGACCGCCATATAGCCACCGTGTTCTATCACCTCCGCAATGATACCAGTCCACACACTGAAAAAAAAAAGAAAATACATTAAATGTTTATAAAGCACATATTCCTGGATGCCATCTTCCTCAACAACGAGACTTATGACCACTGTTATTATGATTAAAAAACTAACACATTTTTCTTGAAAAATATTTTTCATTAAATTGATCCCCAGAGACACAGTCGTTATATTTGTGTGCACTATTAAGTTAATCATCGTTTAATTGTTAAATGAATAAATAAACTTTAATGTTTATCTGAGAGTTAAGATGGTTATTGCATTTACCTTGTCTGCCATTCGGTTCCCAGCCCCGTACATATATCTGTACCAGCCTTCCAAACTTCCAATGTTATCACAGTACTTATCAGATCCATAACGTGCGTTTCTCCAAGCTTGATCTAGTAGATTGTACTTCTTACATGGATCCACTAAAAATAGGTATTACATAGATAAATAAATGGGTAAATTAATAATTCAACTTATCACAAATGCACCAGTAATATCACAAGATAAATTGGCACACGTTCGGTAGGGATAAGCAAAATCTTGACAAAATGTGTGTTCAATGCAGATTTACCACACGTTCTTTGGTCTTTGTCAAGTTCCATATTTGCTGGGCATTCACATGTTCGGCTTCCAGGCCCAGCTGACCGGCAAGTGTGTGTGCAGCCGCCATTATCAACTGAGCAAGGGGAAACTGAAACATGACAATGAGGTTAGTTACAGTACAACATAAATGAGAATAACGTGGTCGCTATGCTATCATTAAATCTCAAAGGCGAAGGACTGAAAATAGTTTTATTCTAATATTAAACTTTGGTATTTTTGTCGATCCTATTTCCCTATAGTCCTTTTAATACCAATTCATACAATGTATTCATGTGGGATACTTACCACAACTTTGTTTCTGGTTCGAATTAAGCACATTAGCTGGGCAAGTGCATTGAGCTTTCCCATTCTGGTTCACACAGCCGTAAGTACAGTTGCTGTCCAGGCATGGGTCGCTTGTGTCTGTCACTGAAAGATTTCCATATAAAATATTATACAGCGCAAATCGCCACTTAATTTACGTAAATCTACTTGATATTAGACATGTAAAAGGAACATAATGATAAACTGCATTATATCAGATGCACGTTGAATCTAGCCTACTTCAATTAAATTGTCGCTTTAGAAACATTCTTATCTAAGACGTACCTCCACAAAATGCTCTATTGCACAAGTTTTGCAGAGAAGGCAACTTGTACACATAGTATCCGCCAGGGCATTTTTTGACAGAGGCGTACTCATAGTTTTGAAGATGACCATGGTTCGAACTGGTGGCACAAGTAGATGAATAATATGTGCACAAACGGCGCTTCACGATTCCATTAGCAACCTTTGGGTGGCCGCCTGTCAGCCAGATTGGATATGTCGTCCCGCACCTACTAGTTGATGGGTACTAAATCATGAAAATATGAATGAATTGCGTTTTGACATCACAGGGTATGAGTTAATGGGCTAATTTCTATGATAAAATGTTGGGTCTTATACATTGCATAATGATAATATAGTCACTATTGGTAAATATGTAGTTTTTACGAACGCTTACCCCTTTAGCAATAAAGATGAAAAAAAAACCCGAAACTGAAAGTGTCAGCTTACCGTATCTGGCATCTTGTTCCCAGCTCTGCCCATGAAGCGATACCAGCCATGCCACTGGCGACGGACATCACAAAAATACTTTTGTCCATAGTTGATGTTCCTCCACTCATCTGTTATTGGTTGATAGTTGTGGCATGGATCCGATTCTAATTAAATACAATCAGTTTTGAATATAACACTACTATAACCATGGTACGTTTTTTTAAATAATATACTTTATTTAGGTATACTGACAAGAGTTGTAAGGGATAATTTGATTAAAAAAAGAACACTGTAAGACTACCCCATACGACTTAGATAAGCAAAATTTTTATCAATATTCTCTTCCTTAGATAAAGTATTTACTAAATCATAGAAGTGTCAAAGCGCCTTAAGTCTTTGATTCCACATCGCCTTACCACTAGCATATACACATGCCGATGTCCACCACACAAATATGAGAGTAAGGAGCTTGAAGTTCATTTCTAATAGCAGTTTAAACAGCAAAATGCTCCTGTGAGAATTGCTCCCCTTTTTAAGATAAAAAATTGACCAATGAAAAACCGTGTTGAATCACGATGCGTGAACACCAGTGGCACCTGCATCTGATTGGATGAAAAGTGTATAGATATAATGTGCACTGGATTATTCGCTTGAAAATTGTAAAGAACCCACCAGCAGTATGTTTCTCTTACTTGTGATTTTATCCACAGCGTTTTCTGAGGCAACACCAGGTGGTAAGTGCTGGGGACTCGTAAATATGCAGTACAAACAATATTAAGTAAAAGAACAGTTAAATAGAGAGATGTATTTCTTGGACCGTTAAACATAAGGGTGTAGGGGCATAATGCACTATCATCTTTTGTTTCAGTTGACCCCTGCCAGGACTATGTGGAACTTGATGAAGCATGGCGAAAGACCAGCTTCAGTAGTTCATATTATGCACAAGAGACAGGAATGACCCTTGACTGGTTCCGCGTTACTGGAGATGCTGGAAATAAAGTTGCAAATACGGTAAGATTAAACACAAAATATTAGGCTTAAATGGCTTTTCTAAAATATATGAGGTCGGCTGATAACCGATATCAAGAGGAATTCAAATTCAAAACCTTATGCAAAATGCAACTTTATTATACACTCGTGTAAACCAGCGTTTACAAGCATAACACGGTTGCCATACTGTTGGTCTTTGAAACATGTATCTGTCACCAGCCACTCACATAGCAAACTATGGTGAAAGTGGTCAATCATTTGCGTAAACACCGCAACAAAAAGTACAAAAGTTAGTTTTATTTAGTACAAAATTTAGTTTCATTTTGGCATGGGTAAAAATTGATTAGTTGTGACTTTACGCATCAATCGTAATGTTAATCAAAATAAAATGAGGAGTAAATGTATAAATACGGTTTGTTACTTTCTAATGTTCTGCTTTCAGTATTTACTACCCCATAGCTATAATTTGTTTAATTAATTTAAGTGTCCAAGTCAAAGTTATTGCGGCGTTTATTACCCTATGTGGATGTTAGGGGACCATCCCACGGCAGCAGAAGGAATAGTAAAACACACGCTGTGCTCCAGGATCTCATCTAGCTACTGCTGTCACACCCCGGGGGAATCGTCTAATGTCAAAGGAGACGTCATCTATGTGAAGAAGTGTCCTGGGGGATATTACGTATATAGAGTACCAAATTTGAAATTTGCGTGGACGTATAGGGCGGTCTGTTCAGGTAAACATTAGGAAAATAAGAAAGCATACGTTCATTACTCTGATTCACAAGAAACAATTCACTTGATATTTATTAGGTAGGCCTACTTATGACGCACAGTGTGTTGATATAACATAATATAAGATAGTCTTTTCATTTATCTGTTTACATGAAGTGCGCAAACGTTCAAGGCACACGCACGTTCATTTATATACTTATTGCAGTGAAGGACAGCAGTGACCCGTGCCTGGACAGTAACTGTACATACGGCTGTGTAAACAACAATGGGAAGTATGAGTGCACCTGTCCACCTGATATGGTCAAGTCTGGGGACAACTGTGGTCAGTTACATTGAATTATATATGTCATATATGGGTGTCTAAACGTATATTGAAAGTGATAACAAAATACGTTAAAAATAAGCTAATTTTTGTCATCTTTGCGACTGTATTAAGGAAAACATTGTAGAATACTAAGCCATTGTGTTTTTGTATTTATTTTTATTATTATTTTTTTTTTGTTATATTTGGTTCTGGTAATTCTTCTTAGGACTTATAAAGCGAAAAAATTGTCGTATATTTAATGTCATGAATCATTGATTTTGTTTGCTACTTAGAACATTTACACAATGGATAATGATAGCCAAGCAGGATGGCAAATATGGTCTTATAATTATGAGGGCATCATCAGTCTGTTCGATTTTTACTGCGTGTCTCCGTTTTCTAACTTTTACATTCTTCGCCGTACTAGTGTTGCCGTGCCAAGTCGACAACCCTGGCTGCAGCCATGAATGCGTCAACCAAGCTGATGGCACAGCTTCTTGTAGTTGTCCATTTTACCTGACACTGGGCGCAGACAACATTACTTGCAGTGAGTAGAAAGGTTTATATATACATATGCACTAGTACCATTTTCATGATTTAAATCTAAAAATCGAGAATTGCATATTCTGAGAATTTTGACTCATACTCAAACGTGTTTTAAATTTTTACAGTAAGCAAGTGCCAGACCAACAATGGCGGTTGCAGTGCTTATTGTCACGAAGACGGACAAGGCGATGTCGCCTGTAGTTGTCCGGCAAATCTGGTACTCGCCAGCGACAGGAAAACGTGCAGTATGGACATTCACATATAGTTCAATGCAATATGTTTAAACTTCTCATAAGATATAATTTAAGTCACATTTTATTCAAAATAAAAGACTTCTACGTCTCTATCAAAACTTATCTCTTAGTCTCTCAGCAAATTGACGAAAAATGTTTTTTTCGGACTTACTTTCCATATTAATCTTTCAAAGCATAAAAATCTCACGTTTTTGAGTGATTCAGTTTTGAAATATGGATAAAAAGTTTGGCATTTAAGTCTACCAAACGTTTTTAATTTTTTTCTCCAGAAACCTCTTGCACTATTAACAATGGCGACTGCAGTCACGTGTGCAATGACACAGACAGTGGTGTCGTCTGCGATTGCCCTCAAAACTTGGAAATGGGAGATGATGGGAAAACTTGTGGTATATATTATAGCTGGTTTAGTAATCAAGCTTTCTACATGTACCTACGAGAACACATGATATTGAAACATAAAAACAATAATATTATTTTTAAATTAAATTTTTCTATTTTTGTTGAAAAATTACCGAATTTACCTGTTTTTTAAACCGCGTGTAAAATGGGGTTTATATTTATTCTAGACAAAGACGTGAACGAATGTCAGAACCAAACTCCGCCATGTTCCAAATACGCTGATTGCACCAATACGTTCGGGGGTTACACTTGTACCTGCAAACTCGGATATTTTGGGGACGGCTTCCAATGTTTAGGTAGGACGATAAGTATCATAGGGCTTACGTTATCAAAGCAATATACAAGTAAAAGAGACACGCTAGCTCATGTTCTTTATAACAAAGATAAAACATATTGATTTTTCAATGTGAACTGTTGCCGTTTTCAATATACTACCAATAGAAGTTACCGATATTTCCCTCAATATCTCTTTCAGAGGAGAAGGCCACTGACCCAACAACCAAAAGGTGAGATGAGATCATTTTAAAACGATTCAGTTGTATCATAAGTATATAATATCTCGTATACGTTTAGTACACAATGTATTATACCTGCTATGATACTAGAGATGAATAACTACATACTGCTCTTGATCAAAAGAAATAGTGGTGTTGGATTAGTTCAAAATAAGAAACCGTCATAAATTGATGGAATAGTTAAATAGTCTGAGATGTCAAGCTTATTTCAAAAATAGGTTGGGTTTTGGCATACGTATCGTAACCTGATAAAATAAACAGCCATAGATTATCAACAATAATATTTGCAGATGCGAATGTCGTATGAGGGCAGAGATAAACAGCACGTCTCCCGGGGCCATACTTTACGAGTTCCCCACCCTAATCTACGGATTTAAAGGGGTTTGGGTACTGGAGCGCAACGCCACCATCCCTGTCCCGGTTACTGACCGCTTCCCAGATTTCTACAAAACCCGGCTGGTGCGACGTGAACTAAAGTTACCCGATCTGTACACCTGTCTACGCGTCCTTAGAGACTGTCCTTTTGATTGCGAGAGATTGGCTAAGATAACCTTAGGCGACGAGGGGATTGCCAAGAAATTTCCGGTTAAGAACTCTGCTGGCGTCGATGTTAGGAAGTCTTTGGGACAGATTTCTTGCGAGCGTTTCGGTAAAGATTTCCTTACCCCTGGCAAACGTGTGGTGACATTCTACAACCCCCCTCGTGAGTGCGGCAAAGAGGCGTCTACCCACGCATTTGACCAGCGTCTCTGTTGCTCCAATTATGATGTTTCTTACATCGGCTCTTTTAACGCCTGGAACCATAACTGCACCAAAGGAATGTCAATTACCGATATATTTGGTTAAACTGTAAATGACGTGTGTTCTTTTTAAGTATGCGAGATGAGTATAGGTGTTTTTCGGTCGTCACTGTTTAATAGCATACAAAGATGCATTTTATATAAAAAGTTGGAAATAGTTGTTGCTGATTAAAGTTTAGGCTGTATGCTTAACAATATATTAGATTAATTAGTTTGAAAAGAAGGACATGATATCCACGCAGGTGACCGTTCATTTACTAGAAGTTTAGGGATGGACCTAATCGTTTATTTTGATACTGTCACAAAACGCCGTGGCATAATAATTTTGAAAAACTCATCAATTATTTGTTATAATCATAAATTGAGTATTAAGCTTGCCTCAGGTTAGTTAAAGATAGTTTTTAGGATATAGTTTTGGTTTTCTATACATACATGTATATAAAGGCGTAAGATAATAAGTTGAGATGGTAATTGATTGTCATATAAATTAATGAAATAACAAAATGGAAATTTCCGTGATCCGTAAATTAAATGACCAATTCGAACAAGTATAAGTCAGGTTGTAATACATGTAATCAGAAATAGCATAGCACACATACAGAATATTTGTTTCTTCTGGTATGTTATTCACACGTTATTGTATGAAATAAATTATATAATGTCACTTTTTGGTTTTCTTCTGTTGGTCTATTTTAAATAAGAATTTTTAATGAAATAAAAAAAATTAATACGTGATCCGTACATTAAGTGACCAATTCCAACAAATAAAATTCTGGTTGTAATAATCCGTAATAGCAAAGCACGCGTGCAGAATATTTGTTTCTTCTGGTACGTCGGTTGGGCTATTTTCAATAAGAATACTTCTCACACGTTTTTCATGAGAATACATGCTGTACTTGCTGTCATAACATGAATTTCCCTCATAGAATTAGTAGCCGAAAAATGTGGCTCGGTTTCTTTCGTATAACCACAGTAGCCAAAACCAAATCTTTTAAATAGAGTCTCCTTTTTAATCTTATTGACAGAACACAGTTTGGAGTAGTCAAGGGCAGTTCCACTACACATGCAGTAACTGAACTCATTCACAATTGGATGCAGGGTCTTGAACCCTCTCAAAATCACAAGAAGTATGCCAGAATTCTTTTCCTGGACTTTTCAAAGGCATTTGATCTCATTGATCATAACATTTTACTAAGAAAACTTTATGACAAGGGTGTACCTGAACTACTTGTCAGGTGGGTGCAGTCCTTCCTATCCAACCGCTCCCAGAGAGTAAAATATAAAAGCTCACTCTCTGAATGGCTACACCTACATGGTGGAGTACCCCAGGGTACCCTTCTTGGGCCACTGCTTTTTGCCATCATGATTGATGACTTAAAATCCAGATGTCCAGACTACAAATATGTTGACGACACTACAGTGTATGACATTTGTAATATTGATGGTCCATGCCACTTACAAAGTGCAAGTAACGAAATAGTGCTGTGGACACAAAATAACAATATGAAACTGAATGCCAAAAAAACCAAGACCATGACCCTAAATTTTACACGTTCTAAACCAGACCTCCCACCAATAGTTATAAATGACACGCCAATCTGTGAGGTTACACAGTTCAAACTTCTGGGCATCCATATTAGCAATGACCTAAAATGGGGTACTCATGTGGATCATATATATAAAAAGGCATGTGCAAGACTCTATTTCCTCCGTCAACTGAAGCGAGCTAAGCTCAGCCCTGCTAACTTAATCCAAGTTTACCAAAGTATTGTGCGCTCAATTCTAGAATATGCCTGCCCTGTATGGCATCCAGGACTAACTATAGAGCAATGCAAACTTTTAGAGACTGTCCAAAGTCGTGCTTTAAAAATTATTTTCCCCGACCTACACTATGATGAAGCCCTGAACCTGGCAAACATGTGCACTTTAGAAAAACGAAGGGAAGATCTGTGCAAAACTTTCTTTTACAAAATAACAGAATCCTCTGACAAATTGAATCACATCTTAATTGAGCATTCCAATCGTCTTTTAAGATCTAACAATAGATACAAAGTGCCAAAATTTAAGACCGACATATTCCGATGCTTTTTTATTCCATATGCACTTTTAAATTTCCAATAGTATTATGCTGTCTTTTATCCTAAGTACAATAATTTTAAAGTTCAGTTAGCAGTCTAAGTACAATAATTTTAAAGCTCAGTTAGCAGTCTTTTAACTCAGTTTTATTCATGCAAATATTCATTTTATTATCATTTTAAATTTTTTTAAACATTCTATGTACAACTTCAACCAACTGGGTTGCAATCTTAATAAACTATTATTATTATTATTATTATTATTATTATTATTATTATTATTATTAAAATATCAACGCAAAATTGAAATAGCTTCAATTAAAAGTGAAACAGAATATACTGACAGCAGATGTTTACCCCCAAAATTATTAACTGCATAGCCATATCCACAACCGCTGCATGGTAGAAATACAGGCACCATTATACATGTATATTTATTTTGAACATATTTGTTCAAACAGCTTAGATGAATATTTAGTAAAAGGTCAGATTAAAATCTCAAAAAGACATTGCAGAAAGAAAGTACTAAGTAAAATAAAACTAAAAATGAAAGTACTAAGTAAGGAAATTTTGTATATGTACAACGTAAGGATATTAAACGTCTCTAATATAGCACAGAATTCAACGAAGAAATCAAATTTCTACAGTTTTAAAGTCTGAGATACCACATAAAATTCATAAAAGATATATTCACCTGCACGCTCATTCGTAATTCTTATGGTGACCATGTTTCACACACACACACACACACACACACATACACACACACACACACACACCTCTTACATGTACTCTCACCCTCTATCTCTTTCTCTCATTCTCAGGGTCATTTTTTGACGAACACTACATGTAAGTTAAAACACTATTACCCTCAATTGTTCTGCCATTAATTTATCGAACGTCTGCACCACACAAGGTCGTGCTGAAAAATCGCGCAGGATGTTGACCACTGGCGTTCAAAGAGTGAACAAATATTTGCCAGATACCTTCTTATACTGGATATCACTAAATTGCTGTTTTGGTTAAGTTGTTGTCAAATGATAAGATGAAATTTTGGCAAGGAGCACTTATCTGGGACTTTGATCAGAGCAGCATCTGTCCATTAATTCGGACACACGTCGTCAACATACGGCGCCAGTTAACCTGTTTGGATCTTTGTCCCATGCCCTTGTCGAAAGGTTATCACAGAAGCGCTTTAATTTAAATTCAGTCACTGTATCATATTAGAATAAGGTGTATGCAAAACCAACTTTGTGTGATATATTCCGATTGATTATGGTACGGTTTGCAACATTTAAATCGACAGCAGACAGTTAATTTATTATTTAAAACTCCGAAATCGAACAGCATCGTTTCAACTTTTAAGTGTGGGACTATCGAGTAACACTAGGTTTTGGTTTATTAAAAATGGTATCCAAACGATTCTCTTTTTATTATATTATAAATATTTAGCGCGAATCACACCATTAAAACATCCCAATGCTCAAAAATATTGTTTATTTGTGAACCATTGCTCTAAGATGTATTTCATTCACATATTTTGCTCTTTGATAAGCATATTCCATATCATGATTGGCGTTGGGTCTATGTACATATTTGTGTCATCAAACGAAATATCAACAAACCATTTTACCAAACAATAAACAAAAACATATTTTTGTCAACCAGGGTTGTTTTGATGAAACATCTTCTGGGACTTGTTTGCCAAAATCCACTTCAAATATAAATATACTTCAAACGTTTTGATCAAAGTAAATCTTCCCATATCTGACCAATAACAACAACAGCGGTAAACAAATATTGACAAAGAACAACTGTGATGATAAATAAATCACCAAATGTGACATCAGCACTTCACCACACTGTTTTTCATGACCTTAAAAGCCACATTTGAGGACAGGTGGAACCGTAACATAGATAAGGTCAACTGAGTGTACACAGCTTCGAGGACATATATACTTAAGCAAATATACGTATATGTCTTGTAACGCACTGTACAGGTGTTAAATTATAACGATTCTGCAACGATATGGGTTGTAAAGGTGTAACTATTACGGTTTTCAGAAACACTATTATTTAATTACTGACATATTGAACATAATGTAAAACAAAAACGTCAACCATCGTTTGGTAAATTTTCTGTACACGTTTCCACCATACAAATCGTTCATATAAAGACTTATTCTTTGGCCACTTTTTGTTGGTGATTTTAAATGAAATAGCATTTATAGCCGCATATCAAAAGATGTTATTCATTAATCTTTAAAGGGAAATTTAACTTTCAGAAGTACGTAAGTCATCCCGAAAAGTATCCTTATGGTCATCTCTCGATCATCATGTGATATTCAGTGCATAAGGTCTAATATTTCAATGTAAATCTTATATCGTATTACATAAACTGTTATCAGCTATAACGAAACTGGATTGATAAAAATATCCTTGAATGGATATACCATCTGCCACATTTCCGTGTACTTCGATGTAACTGATTGCCATGTTTATAACGTCAAACACGTACTGCCGATTATATGTCATTTAAGTGCTCGTGCAGTGGCTACACCGACGCACTTTATAATTATATAGTCAAAGCACATTTATGTAGCCAAATGTTCACAAGCACAACGAAGCTCTGTTTTTGCTCCAAATTAAGTAAGATAAGTCCATATGACTGTAATTGTCATTTATTAATGACGAAAACTAATAAGATACAAAGTTACAAAACTGGGGAGATAATCAAACATCCCCCAAGCTATATAAGTGCCAAATATAAAAATACACCCAGAACCTAGTATACCAGATACCACCACAGGGTTCTCACTACTAGGCAAACAGTTAAAAACCTGGGAAGTACACCCAGAACAAAGAGCATAAAACTACAAAAAATGGATATTGCCTAGTCGACCAGAAACCCCCAATAATATTCCACCTGGTAATGCGGACACGGAGATAATCAGAAATTGGATATGAATAGATTACGGCATGTCAATGACAGCCAGGAAATAGGAAATATGAAAACTGCAAAAACACCTGGCCCGATAGGAATATAAATATAAATAAAATAGATGCACACAAAAGAAAAAAATCAAGAATAACATGATGAAGTGACACCTAAACAAAATAGCTAACAACTGCAGTTGCATAACACAACAAATTATAAATGTATTGATAAGAACACATGAATAAAGGGGGAAAAATTAAGACAATAAAGAAATACTAGCCTGTGTGTGATCCAAGACTTGAAGTCATCCAATAAAAGGAAACAGCCGTCGCTGAAACTTGAATAACAAAAACTGGTGACTGGAGAAAACTGAATATTGTCCGAAGAAAATAAAGTCACCAAGTGACAAATAACCGTCAACAGCCGTCGCAGAATCTTGAATACCAAATCTTGAAACCACAAAAGTGATGACTGGTAACCAGTGTACAAATAACAATAAAGAAACGTAAGTAATAATACAGTGTAGCTGCTAAAACTGCGGGTAAATATATCCGCAGCTACAAAGCTGAATGACTTCTCACTGAATGCAGCTCGATGGAATTAATCTCCAAAACATCTTTCATAGAATATACTTGTGTGTGCCTTGATACACAGCAGCTAAGACATTTCTTAACCCTGGACATCTGTTATCACCTTGCCATGGTCAACTGCTTAAGGTCAAAATGTGCAGACACAAGACCCAAACAAAACGTTGATGTATTACCAAAAAGTTAAAAGCACCACTAAAACAAACCATTTGCTACATAAATACAATTAATTCTCTTAATTGTAGTTTCTTGGTTTAGCAGAAATTGCCACGGGACAGAGAGATAAGTTAAGGATTTTCAAACTATCATGCAGTTGATGGAATGCAATTTACATTATTGTTAAACTTAAATTCGTAGAAGCAATGCGTCGCTTTTGAGACGTTTCCTGGGCAATATGGAGAAGCCCATCTTCCTATATATGCTGATAAACAGGACACACATGCACATGCATGCGCATGTTTGTGAGTGTTCGTGCATGCATTTGTGTTTCACTTATAGTGGTTTGTGTTTCACTTATAGTGGTTTCTGTTGATCCAAAGGATTGTTTTAAAGAGAATTAACTGTTGTACAATAACCCTGCAGGTTTCTGTACCTACACATTTTTCCTTATAAAAACTGCATTTAATCTTCGGGATTTTCATTTATTCAAGAGAATTTATTCGCACCATTTTGTTGCCATCTCTCTCCACCCGCTGTGATCATGAAATTCACTGTGTAAAAAGCGCAAGATTCTGCCGTGCAAACATCAATCTCAGTTGCAGAAGTGTAAACTAAACATGACATAAAATTACAATTATCAGAAGCAAAATCTGTGTATCATAAATACGGATGCTACCTTGGGAAGTCTCGTAAATTTAGTTAGCAATTACTTCAAATGCTTTGATTGAGCAATCTTAATTCCCTCCTCTTGAATACAATATTTTAGTTTATATAAAAGAAGTTATTTTTATGTAGCTTTTATCCTGAAGCTGTATCCTTTTTTAACACAAATTCTCAAATTTTTACTGTTTTTAATACAACGACGTTTTCAAGGTATTTTATTCCCGATATTGAATAATTTATGTATTTTATTGGCCAAATACACCTTTATCTTCTATTATATCCCTATAATCAAATTGCGTAAATAAAGGACTTCCAAGTTCATGCCATTTAACAACACTTAACGAAATGTCCTGTCATCACATTCGACTCACAAGAGTCTCCCAAGCTTAACGTATCAATAATGCAAAATTTAGCTGTCCGTTCTTTAAGAATAAATTAAGCACAACTAAATTCAAGGCACAATTCCCAATCATCATCATGTGATAAAAATTAATGGTAGGCCTACATTTATTGAGCATTCATTCTCAAATATACCGAAACTGAAAATGATTCATTCATACCCGCAAAATGATACAGAATTAGAAACCACTTTTTCATGTCACTTCTTTTCTTGACTCAGTCTTTAAAAAGACTATAGGCCTACTTACATCTTAGAGTTGTCCAATTTCTTAAAAATGTCCATTATCATCAAAATGTACATTGCTCATTCTTAAAACTTTTGTTTAAATATAAAAAGTCTGTCACATTTGGTGTTTGATAAAGCAGTAATACGCAGCCCTTCTGATATCATGACATATTTTATCAGCCTACATGACCTTTAATATTCACAGTTTTAGCCAACGAGGAGTTCCGACAATTTCACTCCTCCACTACACTTCCGGTTCCAGAAAGTCAATTTACCAATGCCAGACACGCCCTCCGAGTTGCAGCATAGATACGCCTCTGATGCGTATGTACTTAGCTCGTCCCCGCAGTCCTCCCCGGGATTATAAAATACTACCACTCTCTTCCCTGGGGGATCAATGTGATGGTTGTACGTCTCGCACATGATCTGGCCCATGGTTTTGTAGACTTGGTCATGGGCCGAGTTCTCCACCAACAGCTTGGTCTCAAACCCCAGGGTGTCACCTACGATGATCCTCGCCAGGCGTTCGCAGTCGGTAGGGCAGCTACGGAGCACCTTGAGGCATGTGAGGAGGTCCTCTCGGCTGCCAATGGCCTTGCGTCTACGCAGTGTGTTGAAGAAGTTGGGGTACTTGTCCGTGATGACATAAGCGGCGCTCTCGTTGCCATACATGTCCGTGGCCCACAAAGTCTTGTGGCCGTAGATCAAGGTCGGGAGGTCAAACAAGATAGGACCCTGAGCGGTGCTGTTGGTTTCAGCTCTAAGTCGGCATCGGCAACTGTTTGAAGAAAGGACAAAAGGACAATTTTAAATAGTAGAAGTTATAACTGTATCATAAAAAGTTACCTGTATAATATACTACCAGTCATACTGGTAGTATGGCATGTCAAGCTGGAATATCTGTATAAAGGATAACTTTCTGTTGCAAGTGTACTTTTTAATCGAAATCTCTTGTTTAACGAATAGAATACAGAAGATGCACCAAGACCAATGTTTTTTCAAAGTCCTGAAAAAAGATACTACTAATTAGAAAAAACTGATACTCACTGTCTGGTGTTTTTGTCTGTTGGCCTTTCATCTACAATGATAAAATGAATATTTTAACATGAATATTTATAAACATAGATTTACCTGTCTAACTGCCCTCTTGATGTCCTGGATTTAATAGATTTAACAGTGAAATTTTTACTCATGATTATGATGAGACCAGTGCCCGTTTATACACTTCAAATAATTATCTTTTAAATATTTTTTCAAACTCTTATAAAAATGTTATAACGTTTGAAATAACCATGGCAATTAAATCCAATTAATTGTTTTACCATGGCAATTAAATCCATCCCCAGCATAGCCCACGTTGCAGACGCATTTAAACGAGCCGTGCGTGTTGATGCATGTCGCGTGCTGCGAGCAAGGGTTTCTTTTACACTCATTGGCGTCCTGGTCTGAAATTAGAAAAATGACGTTTTAACGTTTTAACTTAAAAGTACCATTAAATTAACGCCACAGTTATGCGACATCTTCCACTGGTCAAGGAGTTATAACAGATGACTCCTTGCTCTGGTCAAGTGCGGGCCGATGAAGGAAAATGTGCACTGAAATTGACCCAAAGTGACCTCCAATATAGCACCGTTTTGTATGAAAATCAATATGAACTAAATCTTTGTTTAAACAGACGAAACCACAGAACAAGATAACATTCATGTGAACACATACCGCAAGTAAGTTTATCATTCCCCAGCTCCCAACTGACGGGACAACTGCAGATGGCGCCACTGTTACTATCAGTACAGTTATGACTGCATCCGCCATTGTTGATGCGGCATGTGCTGACTGGAATAGAAGAAGACCAAACTGTTAAATAACTGTTACATTTTGCATTTAAATATTTTCAAAATTTTGACGTTAGAGCCATGGTAAACTATAAACAGAATGATTCCATGTAATGCATTCTGTGGAAGTTAAACACCACGTTTTTATTTTTTTGTGTCTTTCTTTCAAACTGCGGTTAAGTTTAATCTTAATTCCTTACTGCATGTTTTGTTATCTTTTGCTAACACCAAGTTCGCCGGGCATCCACAGGATATTTTCCCCTTCTCGTCTGCTTTGCAGAAATGGCTGCAGCCACCATTTTGATGAAGGCATGGAGTCACTTAAATGGAAAATAATAAGATGTAATAATTTAAAGTAGATATAGTCTATCTTAGGCCTGCCATTTATCGGTATATGTTACAAACTGTTTTGAATTCGATCGGCCAAAATGAAATATAGGAAAATATTTGATGAGGTTTTCCGATATAAAAGTCCATCAAACCAATGACATGTGTAATTATTCCTCCTACTGTATGTGTGTTGAGGAGGTAAATCTTGTTATGAGAAATAAAAAGCATATTGGATTATGAGCTCATGACGGTGTCTGTTTCTGTTAACGACACCCACAGACAACGTACAGTGCAAGCATGTAATTGTGCAACATTAATTTAATCAGCATTGACCAACACGAGCTCTTATATGTGCATGTACATGTAGTTAGCGTCTTACCACAAATCTTCTTATCTCCCGCCAGAACCAGACCGGATGGACAGCCACAAGTGACTGTAGCATTCACATCACTATGGCAACTGTGACTACACCTACCATTGTCTATGTCACATGGGGATACTGTAAATGAAGGTAATGTGACCACATAACATGGGGGAATCCGGAGATGGGTGGGGTGGGTCATTTTCTTCTAAGGCAAGTGTATCTTTTAATGGTCTGCGACCAAATAATTTCCAGTATAGAAATTTTAACTTATCATTATACATGCACTTTGTATAAATATATGGAGTGTCTATATATACTGTATGTTTATCGATTCGTAAACTGATTATGCGTGTGCGTGCATGTTGTACTCATCTTGAACGCAAGGCGTCCAAGCGTAGGGATGTCTCTTACCGCACGTGTTCCTGTCCTCCGCCAGCACCAGGTTGCTAGGACACGTACACACTGGGCTCCCTTTGTCACCAGTACAGCCGTGAGTACACGTACTGTTCAGACAGGGGTCGCTGATGTCGGTCACTGAAAGGGTAAAATATTACATATAGCACGAACGTAATGACCTCATTGTTCAGGCTATGCGAAAAAAAAACCCCAAACGCTGACGCAAGCGTATTTCATATACTTTCAGTAGCAATAAAATTGGACACCTACATGTTAGCTGGCGATATGACTTCTGATTTAATGGTAGTTAATTTAGATTTATTCAAGTAAACGAAACATATCTGTCACAAATATCATTTAGTTGAATCAACAAAGCGTTTGGGCATCTGTTTTAGAAAAGAATAAGAAATATAAATATGTATTTGAAAAAAGTTTTATAATATTTCAACGAATAAAATACAGAAAAGATAAACATTAAGGAAAATCCGTCCAACTGCTCAATCATGGAGAATAGGATAGCCAGGTGTACCTCCGCACATGTTGACGCGGCAGTTATTCCACTGGAATCGAGGGAACTTGTACACATAATACCCCCCTGGACATTTCCGCACCATGGCGTAGTCAAAGGTGGTGTAAGTGTTGTCTAGACAGGTACAGCTGGAGCTGGAAGACCGAGTGCAGATTTTTCTTTTGACGATGCCGTCCTTCACAGTTGGGTGACCCCCGAAAAGCCATCGTGTTTTACCATTTCCTCCACAATGATTCCAGGATACACACTGGAGACAGATAGCACGGTTTTCATTTACACAGGTGTAAGTGGTGTTGTGAATATAATCTCCACACTTAATTTTCCATTTTGGAAAAGAACGCACAGTATCAACCTAATTTCTTTACTGACAAATTATTATTGGGACTTACAAGTAAAAGCGAGTCCAGCTCGGGACCGTGAATCTAACTAATACCCCTGTGAACCTTCAGTGAATGGGATGTGCTGCTGAGTGATGAACAGGGTAAGAAATATGGAAACTGGGTTTACAACTTGGCTGGGACGGATCCAGGATTATTTGAAGGGGGGTCCAGTTTTTAGGAATGACAGGCCGCGGATACGGACCCCCCTGACCCCCCTAAATCTTCCACTGTTAGGTACCTGGTATATTGTTTAACATGCTATATTGTCATTATTGTTATTATTCAAGAGTCATTCGTTAACTTGCCGAGTCAGCCATCCGGTTGCCTGCTCCTTTCACAAATCTGTACCAGCCTTCGAAACTTGTCATATCGTCACAATAATAGTTTAAACCATATCTTGCATTTCTCCATTCTTGGTCTAATTGTTTGTATCTCTTACAGGGATCCACTGAAAAAAAATCATTGAAGGTTATGTAACTGGGTTTATTTTGTTACTCTGTGCAATATCAATTATTTTTAATCGATTTTAAGCTTCACAGTCTATGTACTGCACCAAACAAAACGAAACAGAGAAGGTGAAACTATATGCAGAACTACGCAGCATTTTTGCACACTTTGAGAAGAAGAAAACATTTTAAAAGAACAGACTTGATTTTTCTTTGCATTTTAAGTTGAAATGCACGTACCGCACGTTTTTTGGTCCTTATCTAATTCCATGGTCTCCGGGCACTCACATGTTCTGCTACCAGCTCCTTGTGACCGACAAGTATGACTGCACCCGCCATTGTTACTTGAGCATGGGGACACTGAAATAATAAACCACACCAGATGAATCCTTTTGTGCATTATGCAAGGAAAGTCAAAGGGGTGTGTGTGTGTGTGTGTGTGTGTGTGTGTGTGTGTGTGAGAGAGAGAGAGAGAGAGAGAAAGTTTTGGCGAATGAAATATGGTAGTTACTGTGGAAACATAAAAATAAGCATTAAAACTACTCACCGCAGCTTTGGTTTCTGTTTGAGTTGAGTACGTTAGCTGGACACGTGCACTGCGCCTGGCCATTATGGTTGACACATCCGTATGTACAGTTGCTGTCTAAGCACGGGTCACTAGTGTCTTTTACTAATCGATTTGGAAATTATAACATTTAACAATAAATAAGATTTAAATATTTAATATTTAAAATTGTTTTAACTTAATTATACAAGCTTTAATGGTAATGTGCAAATGTGGTTTGTGCAAATCAACAAATTCACTGGGAGTTGATAACATGTAAACATTACGGAAGATATGTATTTCAATGTCTCAGTTTTTGCAATGGGCAGAATTTTACACAGAAACAAATAGTAAGAAGGTAATGTGTTTACGTGGGCTAGTAAACACATTAGCCTCTTACACACCAAGGCCATGATGCTACACATTTTTACACGTGGTAGTGGGTAAACCGAATCATTACCTATTGATATCATAAACAAGAGAAAGAGAGCATGGTAGAGTGGCCGACAGATTTTAAATCATACCTGCACAGAATGCCCTATTACACATGTATTGCAGATTTGGCAGCTGGTACACATAATATCCTCCTGGGCACTTCTTCACCTTGACGTATTCATATTGTTGAAGATGTGAATAACGAGAGCTGGTAACACACGTATAGGAGGAATAGTATGTGCACAGTCGCCGTGACACTATGCCATTGCTGACCTTTGGGTGACCACCGGACAACCAGATAGGGTAGGAAGTGCCGCATCTGTCTTTTGATGGAGCCTTAGAGCGAATTAATACTTACATGTATAAACTTGTGAAGAATTAATAACATAAGCGAACATTCCAAATCAAACGTAATATCCTAATTATTGATAAAACACATTGCACGGGATCTTGTTTTTTATAATTTATATTCTTACTGGTAAGCCTACATAATACAGTTTGTTCTCCTGAAATAAATGCAAGGCCCTAATCCAACTATTGCAATACTGAGCGAGCGTGCGTTTGTGATGAGAAAATAAGAAACAAGTCACAAACAATTAAGAGGTATAAAAAGTGAACTGTACCGAATCAGGCATCTTGTTGCCAGCTCTCCCCATGAAGCGGTACCAGCCATGCCACTGATGAGTGATGTCACAGAAATATTTTTGGCCATAGTTCACGTTCCTCCATTCATCAGTTATTGGTTGGTAGTTATAACATGGATCTACTACATGTGATACATGTGAAACAGAATTATCAGGTTTTTCAAGATTAGGGTGTAGGACTGAAGTCTGCGAGGAGAGACAGGGCAATTAAAGCCCGTGTAAACCCTTCGCTCTCGTGACTATTAATGAGTTTTCAACGGATAAGGCGTGAGATTAAGTATAAGACATTCCATCGTGATTATTCAAACTATTTATCTTATTTCCACTTACAAGGGCCATTGCCTAAGCCATTAAATTCGTACTTAGTCAATCAAAATGTATGATAAAGGTGATGGGCTACTTAAAGGTATACTATTTGCATTTGAAACTCTCAAAGTCATATATTCTATACAGGTATCTACATGCTCTGCAAAGCTGCCTGGCTTTCCAAATTGAGATCTCAAAGACAATTCAGACTTTTAAAAAATCCTCTAAATAAACATACCCGATGTTAACACATGTAATGTCATCTGAAATGCACATTAATACATTGCAGTCGAAACTTTACGGAAAACATTGAGAACTAAATTCATTAAATTATCCGTGCACAGAAAAATTACTTTTTTGTGCAAGTAATTGCGGATAGGTTCCTGAAGTTCATTTGCTAAATGCAAAAATAGCCTAAATATTCACACAAAGAGAATTAAGTAACAAAATAAAAGTAACAAGAAAAAAGCTACCGTTTTCTCCCAAAGTTGCCCTTAACATCCCCGTGATCAGGGCTAACAACTGAAAGTGCGTGTTCTTCATGATGCAGAGTTGTTCCGTGGAATGTTGGCGATGACCTTATAGACTTCGATTTATCGCTAGTTTTTAGCCAATGAAATGCTGCGTTTCATAATTGGAGTGTGGAGGTTGTCGATAAAAGCTTTTTTCCTGTTGGACGAGTAACAGTTAAATATAGACTAGTTTGAAAAGTCCGTTTATAAAATATCTCTTGCCAGCTTGCCAGGATGCTTCTATCTGCTACGTTGTTAATATGTGTTATAAAACTGACGGTGGCGTTTGAAGGAGGTATGTTTTCAACAAATAGTCAAGTTGAATGTAAATGTTTGTCTTTTTAGTGTGTTGCACTATATATGATAGGCCTACAATTAAAAATTTGCACCTTGTCGATAGAGAAGTTAGCAAGCAGAAAATATGGAAATGTGTATGTGTGATCGACTCGAGGTAAGTGTACGTATATAGCATTTATATTAGCATTAATCATTTGGTGAAAACAAATTATCATTAATTTCACTCGACTTTACTTTTTATTTCGCCAGGCGATCCCTGCTTCTATTACATTGAACTGTATGAACCTTGGAGAAAAACCAGTTTCAGCAGTTCTGTTTACCATTATCAGGAATATGGCATGACCAACGATTGGTTTCGAATTACGGGTGATGCAGGGAATCAAGTTGCAAACACGGTAATTTAATGTAATTTGCGTTAGTGTACTTTGGATATTGGTAATTTGCTAATTAGTGTTTGCACTGAAATATACGCAAGATTCATACATGCACATACAAATAATTTTTGCACTTTTTTGTTAAAGAAATTTCCATTTCTTGTCAGTGCCCTCCGTATGGCTACTGTGGTTCTCAGTATCCCATGTGGATGTTAGGGGACCATCCCACAGAAGCTGAAGGAATAGTAAAACACACGCTGTGCTCCAGGATCTCATCTAGCTACTGCTGTCACACCCCAGGGGAATCGTCTTATATCAAAGGAGACGTCATCTATGTGAAGAAGTGTCCTGGAGGATATTACGTATATCGAATTCCAAATCTGAAGTATAATTGGGGCGCCAGGTCTGTTTGTTCGGGTACGTTTAATTAAAAAGAGATTTATGCTTATAGTGATTTTATAGTTATATTGAACTGAAACTTTACTCTTGTGTTGCACTTTATTTCAATGTTTCAGAGGCGTAAATAAATGAACTATGTTGTGTACATAGTTGAAATATATGATCTATTAATTACTATTACAGCAAAGGACAGTAGTGGCCCATGCCTGGACAGTAACTGCGTACATACGGTAATAATCTCCACAGTACAGTGATCTACCAGTAAGCTGAGCTATGATTTGTTTTAGTAAATGCCACTGCAGTAAGACATATTTTTGTTTCAGTGAAGGACACCAGTGACCCGTGCCTCGACAGTAACTGTACATACGGTTGTGTTAACAACAATGGGAAGTTTCAGTGCACCTGTCCACCTGATATGGTCAAATCTGGGGACCACTGTGGTCAGTTTTATTTAACTCTTGCTATTTTGAATCATGTCACATATGTTCAAAGATAAAATAACTATTGGCATTACAAGCATTTGGTAATATTTACAAAACGGAACAAACCGGTTTTACGGAGTATTCTGTCACGTTACTTGTGAAAATCAAAACGTCTTATTTCAGATATCTGCACCTTTCCTTCTTATTAAAATAAGTGAAGTTATATAATTGAACATTCTGTAACCGTTTTTACATATGAATTAACGGATCTAGGGATAACAGCTCTTCGTATGAGATTCATGTTTCACGATAAATGCATTTTAACAACTCACAGAAATATAATAAACTCCATTTTGTCACCAAAACAGCGTTTATCGCAATTATTCTGGAATTTGTGCTTGCCAGCAGGCCACGTGGACCTTCATAGATGGCTAAACTACCGTTATAATATCTTAAGGAAATAAATACAAAAAATGTAACTTTTAAGAGAAAAACATGGACTAACTTTGAACATAGGAATGATTCAATTACCTTTAGTTAGTACGTTCAACCCTGGAAAATCCGTTTTTTGGACAAAACGAATAGTTGTTATCCCTTTAAGTACAGTTTAAGTGGAACAACCAACAGGTCCACACGAGGTCTCACGTTGGAACAGCAAGAATCTTGATTCACTCCCATCACGTCAAATTACACGTTACTTTGTTCTCCAGTGTTACCGTGTCAAGTCAACAACCCTGGCTGCAGCCATGGATGCGTCAATCAAGCTGATGGCACAGCTTCTTGTCGCTGTCCATTTTACCTGACTCTGGGCGCAGACAACATAACGTGCAGTGAGTGAACTTAGAAATATCTCCTTCTGATGTCTGAAGACGAAAAATACTAATAATGTAACAAAAAACAAAACAGTATAAAAAAGTAAAACAAAGAACAAAAAAGTATATATATATATATATATATATATATATGTGTGTGTGTGTGTGTGTGTGTGTGTGTGTGTGTGTGTAACACATTTTAAGTACATATTTGAATTTCATATTTATTCTTATAACAAGAACTTCATAAAAATAACATTACAACTACATCTTTAAATGCTTTAAAATGTTTTAGTTTCTTAAACTTATAATCAATTGCACGATATTTTCAGTAAGCAAGTGTCAGACCAACAATGGCGGTTGCAGTGATTATTGTCACGAAGACGGTCAAGGCGATGTCGCCTGTAGCTGTCCGGCAAATCTGGTACTCGCCAGCGACGGGAAGACATGTAGTGAGTACAGATATTCTTATTTCGGCGGAATTTCAAACATTACCGTATTTTCAACGCAAGCATGTATTGCACCTGTTAGCTATTCACAAACGAAACGTTGCCATACGCACGTGTCATTTTTTATTTCATTTGTTTCATAGTGTTTTATCAGAGATGCATATTTTTACAATACATACCATTCTGGTTTTAACCTCAGAAACCTCATGCACAATCAACAATGGCGACTGCAGTCACGTGTGCAACGACACGGACAAAGGTGTCGTCTGCGACTGTCCACCTAACTTGAACATGGGAGATGATGGAAAAACATGTGGTGCGTCTGACGGTTTTATATAGTTTTCCACTGTAGTTTTGTACTGGTGCCTCGCTACACATGTAACAAAAGCAACAGGAACTCTAAAAGTAGATGAAGCTGTATGAATTTATATGCATGTATATACTGTATATCTTGTTCACATTTGAGCCAGGAAACGCAAAATACACTAGTGACTCTCCTTTATGATATCGAATGTGTGTGTTTGCAGACAAGGATGTGAACGAATGCCATAGCCAAACTCCGCCATGCTCCAAATACGCTGACTGTACCAATACATTCGGGAGTTACACATGTACCTGCAAACTTGGATACTTTGGGGACGGCTTCCAATGTTTAGGTAGGATGACTCTAAATATCACTTGGTCTTTGCACTGTAGTATTAATTTTTTTTTTTGAAATTTGAAGTAAGAACCTTATGCATATCAAATAGCAAGTTGCTTCTGAAGAATAAATTCATAATTGTAATTGAAACATCATGTACAGTGTGTATGTCACATGTATATACAGTGTACTTATAGAACTGCGTTTCAAATAGGTTAAATTTTAATCTTTTCGGTGCAATGTGATGTGGTTTATCATTTTACTTCCGTTTTAACTTCAGAGGAGAAAGCCACCGATCCTACCACGAAAAGGTGAGCATTGTTATAAAAGACCTACCGATACACTGCATATATAGGCCTACCTTCTTGTATGTAGCTTAAAATCAAACAGTACGTTGTTCAAACAAGTACAGAATAGCTTACGTTTCGCTTACATGATTCATAAGTTGTAGCTTTGTAAATAAAGAAATATGTATTGAATATAGTTTATCAACAAATGAATTTATCAACAATATTTACAGATGCGAATGTCGTATGAGGGCAGAAATAAACAGCACTTCTCCCGGCGCCATACTTTACGAGTTCCCCACCCTAATCTACGGTTTTAAAGGGGTTTGGGTGCTGGAGCCAAACGCCACAGTCCCTGTCCCGATTACTGACCGCTTCCCTGATTTCTACAAAACCCGGCTAGTGCGACGTGACCTAAAGTTACCCGATCTTTACACCTGTTTACGCGTCCTTAGAGACTGTCCTTTTGATTGCGAGAGACTGGCTAAGATTACCTTAGGCGACGAGGGGATTGCCAAGAAATTTCCGGTTAAGAACTCTGCTGGCGTCGATGTTAGGAAGTCTTTGGGACAGATTTCTTGCGAGCGTTTCGGTAAAGATTTCCTTACCCCTGGCAAACGTGTGGTGACATTCTACAACCCTCCTCGTGAGTGTGGCAAAGAGGCGTCCACCCACGCATTTGACCAGCGTCTCTGTTGCTCCAACTATGACATTTCCGGCATTGGTTCTTTTAATGCCTGGAACCAGAAATGCACCAAAGGAATGACTCTTACCGATGTTTTTGGTTAGACTTTAAAACATCCCATTGGCATTTGTACTGGAATGTTGCAGCCAGTGCTGATCAATGCATTACAATACCTTACAACTATACATACAACCGTAGTAAACCGATCTTGTTTCCGATTTTGATAAAAAACGCAGTTATTTGTTAGGAATAGCTTGTGCAAAAAATTGTCTAATATGAGGTTTAATGGTCACCGTCGAAACTTTGATGTGCGTACTTGTATTGTGTTTGGATATCATTATTTCGAAATTACACTTTTACTCAATATTTTCCTCAATTAGTTAAGTAAGCAAAATGGCTTCACATCATGCTGTGTTTAAGCTTCTGTTTTATGCAGCCAATGTTTATAAAGTACGAATAATAAATTTAGTAATATAAAAAATAAAACTTCGTTTTGCTTTTTTTATTAGCTTTAAAATACAGACACTGTATATATCTCTCAAAATATATATATATATATATATATATATCTGGTCACTGTGCCGAAATCCTTGTCGTCACCGTCCGACATTCCTTTTGTTTACCCAATAACCGTTCCTTATGTTTCAATATTCATTAAGTGGCTTTGTTTGGTAAAAATGCAGTTTCCTGTCAAAACTTGACATGATGCATGTATAATCCTTTCAATGATAAATTTTTGAATGTATTTTGACGACGATTGTGCTAAATCAAATTTTATTTTACCTCATGTTAACTAGGAGGCATTTCTGGGGGGAAGGGCCGAGTGAAAAAATAAGTAACAATCTTTTCACGAAAGTAGTGACACATTTTGTGGTGTTTTATAATCATGTTTCCATACTCTCTCTCTCTCTCTCTCTCTCTCTCTCTCTCTCTGTGTGTGTGTGTGTGTTATGCATTCTTAATCATTATTTGTATTTATTACTGATTCGTTCTAGTTCTACACTTAGGAACATATAAACGAGAATAAAATTAATTTAATAGACGTCTATAAAGCTCAACAGCAAACTATTTTCTATCTTATATAGATATAAAAAATTCTCCTGTCTCTCTCGCCTCCCTCTACAGATCTCTCATTATTTTCCAAATTCTTCTCTTTTAGCAGTGCTTCTTTCATTTACACACAACGCAAAAGCATGTTATCATAATACACACCATGAGGACCTGCCCGATAAGTTGAATCAAGTTGCTGTCTGATGATAACCATTTGATTGATCGTGAAGAAATATTTGTTTGCGACTCCACCAGTGATATGTTTGTCAGCATTTTTAAACAAACACCCTTGTATATCTTCTGACAGTCATCCGTGTCATGGGAAAGAAGAACTGATCTGTTCAGCAATCGTGTGTCCTGTGCCCTTGCCAGGGGGTTATCGAAATCATATATATCAACTATGATCCGGGTTATCTAAACAAATATTTAATCCGAGACAGTTGACCGCTACTATCTGGAACATTTTCGGTTGACTTTGCCAACGTATTGCTCAACATTGTTAAATTTTATGATTTCAAAGTTGCCAAAACCACAAAACCGTAAAGTAACACGTTTGTTGGTATCTGCTTTTTGAAAACAAATGAAATATGTAAACTATACTTTAATATAAATATAATCAAAATTCCACATATACATGTATATGCTTACTTTAGCCAGACGATGCTTAATATTGCTTATCTAACAATGTGGTGCATTTACGTTATTATGAAAAAATATATTAATTTATTTCACCAGTCGAACTTTATGTTCTTGACATCGCGTCGGGGTTCTATTCCCTCTCACTGAAACCTTTCTAGTAATTCTCTCAGGACTGTGCACTATTTGTTTAATTTATACTATCGCGCTTAGTTAATCTTATTACCCCCGAGGCACTTTGATTTAATGTCACCCAGGAAGTTTAATCTTTAACCAACCCAGGTAAAACTCCAAAGGCATTGATAGAACCAAATTTGGCCCATCCAGGCAATTTACGACGACACCAATGAACGACATATTTACACAAAGTCGACTCAAGAACCGAACCGGTCACCAAATACTGATACTGCTAAATGATAAGTTGCTTCTCACGACCTCAAAGTTCAAATATTGAAAACATGTTGGACCATAACACAGATGAGGGCACCAGGTTGCTTGGACCGGTATGTTCAAAAAGCATGGGCAAGGTCGTGCGTACTAAATGTACATGTAGTTATCATTTTGTAATGCATTAAACATATATCAAACATTAAATTACAACAAGTCCTCAATAAGAAACGGCTCATCATTTTATCTGAATGACTGACTTGATGATGATCATCAACAATTAGAAAAAAATATATATATAATACAATATAATTTTAACCGGTAGACTGTCCTATCATAATGATAACGTGCTGTTATAATGGTTCGACACTGAAACCGTGCATTGCTCGATTCGTATACATCATGAATTATACGGAATAATGTAAGTCATGTCCTGAAATGGCCTTACAAGCATATAAGCCTAAACCATACGATACCTATATATGTTTCAAAGAAGAAAATACCACTTTCAAGAACAGAGGATAATTCGCCTTCCTTCTAACGACCCTACTGGTCACAATCAATCCATAGCAAATGTGGCATTACAAGCAAAATTTGGAAAATTTTTAAATACCTTCTTGTTCATGTTTAATCTGTATTTTCTATTTGCAACAAAATCTTCCATAATGTTAAGTGACCCCCAACCTTTCGAGATAACGTAAAGCATGGCATTTCAGGGCATCGAAACTATATTTCAAATACTAGCGTAAGCGGCATAGCACCCATTCCGGCAATTGACTGTATGTACTGCAATGTAATTGTTTTACATATGAAATAAAGTGGAAATACTGTAGATGATGTTACCAGTGAAATCAAAAATTTTTAGTCACTGAAATTGCAATGCAGACTTGAAGATATATATTAATAATAAAAATAAATTAGATAAACAATTAACCCAAACAGTCTCAAAAACCGAATATTGCCACTGCAGTGGACATAATAAGCCACTTTACCACACCACAGTTGTATATGCATTTATATGCGATCAATTTTTTTTGCATAATTTTAACTGTCACTGTCACTTTACGTATAACATTGATTACCAGTTTGGGAATTACGTGCATTCAGATAAGTGGCAGTGTGTAGTAGTGTACACGTAGTAACTCACTGATAATTTATATACGTCTCACAGCAAACTGATCGCACCAAAATAGGCGTTTTGTCATTTGCCCGAAATTATAACAGGACAAATTCACTGTAGACTTAAGCACACGCTGATTGTTATCAGGGCGCAATGTATATTTTAATCCTCCAAGGAGGTTTTGATTTTACCTCACCATGCAGCCTTTCTCAAAAAGTAATGGGTTGGTTTTGATGGCAATCCCAATATAGGTCACAATATAAAAGTGATTCCATTTTGGTGGTGATTCGTGCAACGGATCACCATGATCTGGATCCAAGATTTTTTAAATGATTCTTTACCTGAGTGAGATAGGGCCAATAACCTTGTGCAATGGATGTGCTCTCAACTATCACAATTTTATCAGTGCTATTTTAGTGTTTGCTGTATCTACCTTTATCAATGCAGGTTAATCACGAAACTCGTATAAAAAATGCAACCTTGGTTTTTCATTTCCTTAAATGTAAGCCTTGACATAAGGGTCAATACAGCATA